AACAATTCAAAAAATTCCCCACAAGTCCTCAACATGAATGCATAGAAGAGATACAAGCAAGAATCATTACGCTCTATGAAAATTATAAGTGTTGACGAGGCATTCGTTACTATGGATTGCATGAAACTTATGCCAAGAATTTGTTTAACGCGATTGTTTATAAGCAACCTCCACTACTTGTGAATATAAGTTCATAACGATTAGGTGAAACTTACTTATATTCTAGCGTCATATTCATGCATGAAAATTAAGCGCGCATTCTCAATAAACATACATAAATAAGTTATCAATCAAACGGTTAAACAAATTAAATCCACAACTTATGAAACGCAATTAGAAGTATTCAAATCAAAATGCAAGCATAAACATATATTCGAATCACCCCCCAACCAAGGGGGGTTTAGTTCCTCATGGTACAAAACAAAGAGAATCAAAGAAACACCTAAACATTCCAACAACTCAAACTTGAATTGTATGAACGTTTAGGCACTCTTCTCTTCCATGCCTCATTCGTACAAAACAAAGAGTATTGAAATTAAACATAGAAATCAAAGAAACACCTAAACATTCCAACAACTCAAACTTGAATTGTATGAACGTTTAGGCACTCTTATCTTCCTCTTCGTTGTAGCACAAGGTCTAAGGATAGTTTGATGGTGTGAATGGTTTGGGTAGTGGTGGAGGAATGGAAGGATGGTGTTTGGATTTGTAGGGGAGATTCACGGCACAAAGGGGGTGGTTTGATGGTCTACATTTCTGCAATGGATGAGTTTATGGAAGAGTGTTTGGAATGGGTGGATTTCTAGCACAAAGGCCTTATTTCTGTGGTGAATGGATTGTGTCTGAATGAGAATGAATGAATGAGTATTTATAGGTGAAATAGGGGGAACATGACAGCTAGGAACTTGGTGGAAATCTGAAATGGTGATGGGAGATGCATGTGCTGTTTGTGCATGTGATTAAAGGGTGGAAATGCATGTGCTTTGACAGAAATGAAAGGGAATGCACGGTTTTGGTTGATTTCTGGTGGTTGTGAGGTGGAAATCTAGGTGGAAATGCATGTGGATTAAAGCTATGTGAATGATTAAGGTGAATGTGCATGAGTGCATGTGAAATCTGCCAAGATGCATGTGTTATGAAGTGGATTTTCTGCAAATGCAAGGTGAATGTGCATGTGATTAAAAGATGGAATGCATGTGAAATTGTTGGAAATCTGAAGAGTAATGCACGGCAAAGGTTGGAGATTGAATGTGTGTTGGTGTGATTGAATGATTAAAGTGCATGTGGCTGATTTATGAAGGGGAAATGCAAAGGGGAAATCTGGAAATGGGATAGGAGCCACGGCATTGTGTGGTGTTTGTTTGAATGTTTGCAATGATGAAATGGATGGGAGTGGATTGATGAATGAGTGGATGGAATGATGAAAGAATAAAGGGAATGATGAAAGGGGAACAAGTGCATGTGGATGCATGGTGATAGCATGTGCACGGTTTTAGGGAGAAAGGTGTGAATGTGTGGCTGATTTGTGGAATAGGTATGCATGTGAAATGTTTGTGGTGAGTGAATGTGCATGTGAATTAAAGCTAAAGTGATGATGATAAGTGATAAGTGATATGATATGTGGTTATGATGTGATAAGTGGTTATGATAAGTGATAAGTGATAAGTGATATGATAAAGTGATGATGATAAGTGATAAGTGATAAGTGATATGATATGTGGTTATGATAAGTAATGGGAGCATGTGGGTTAATTAATGAAGGAAATGCATGTGCAATGACAATGTGTTAGAATGGATGTGTGTTATGCATGACATGATTGGGATTAGGAAAGGTTTAAATGTCCTAAAACTAAAGAGAACAAGGTTCCAACACTTTGGCTCCAATTAGGTCTTCAATTTCGTCCAACATTTTGGCTCCAGGCATAAGCTATCCATCCTTAGCCCAAAAGTGCTCCAAAAATCTCCAAAATGCATCTTTTTGCTCCTTTAGCCCTTTGGACCTACAAACACATGAAAATAGCTTAAAGTACTAAAATAACTAAAGAAACATAACGTAAATGCACGAGAACAAGCCATTTAAGTCGCATGAATATGCTCCTATCAGCAGGCAAGGAGCTTTTGGTGCCGTTTGCAGTTTCAGCTCGTGCAGGCAAGGAACGTTTGTTGTCGCCTTTTACGCTTATGCGGACAAGGAGCTTTTGGTTGTTGTTGTGGATTTATCAAGCGATCTGGGAGAGGCGTTCCTCGCAATCTTCATAGGAATGAGCCTTGACCGAGTAATTGAAGAAGTCTTCTGGGAAGAGGTCGCACATTGTGATAGGGATGGACAATCTTTGTGTCAAAATTTCATTATCGCCAACACTTTCACATTGTTCTGGAGGTTGACAAGAGTTGCTTTTCCCCCTTTTCAACTGATAAACTTGTGGACAAGATGGTTGCTGCTTGTCCAATTTCTTCGAAGCGATCTTGGAGAGGCGTTCCTCACAATCTTCATAGTAAGCAAGGAGCCTTGACCGAGTAATTGAATAAATATTCGAGGAAGAAGAGATCACGCATGAATGATCTATATGTTGAAATTTTCTTATCTTCAACATTTTCCCATTGCTTTGAAGGTTGGCGAAAGTTGTTTTGCCTCTTTTCTGATTAGTGCACTTGTGGAGAAGACTTACGCTTTTCGTGCAGTTTCTTCAGAGTGACATGAGTCCATCCTTCAATTTCACTTGACTTCGAGCATGCCCCTAACGGTCGAGGTGAAGACTTTGAGTCGAAAGAGCCAGAAGTGACGTCTTTCTTAAGGATTTCATCTTCAGTGCCATCTTCTTGGGTTTTTTGGCATGAAGATTTGCAGTGTGGACGATGATGCGCCTCCTTACCTTCAGTGGTCCTTTCGTGTCGACCTCCAAGGTTGCTTGGTGTTTCATCCTTAAAGGAATCGAGCTTTGAACATCGTCTTTTCCTACTAGACCGTCAAGCTTTTCTTCCTTTGGCGTTGTCTTCCTCTTTCTAGAAGGTTTCTTGGTTTCTTCAAGTTTTTCCAAAGCCGATCATTGTGAAGGAAAGCTAGCCTTGCTGCTTTGTTTCTTAGGTTTTGACAACCTTTCAAAAACAGAGCTTTGGGGTGTTGGCGTGTTATGCCATTTGAACACGGAAGTTCGGTTTTGCCCACCAATGCGATCAAGTGCCGAATTTATGGGTTTTGAATGATTCAGCCTATCGAAGACCGACACTCGAATGGGAAGTTTAGGCTCATCTTGATTTTGTTCAATGCTCACGCTGATGTGTTGAACGCTAGCGTTTTTCGCTTTGCTTGAAATTTCACAGGTGCATTTGGTGTGAAGCCAAGTCCAGCTTTGTTGTTGTCAACTCCGTAATCATGCTCCTTCAACTTCTTTTGAGTCTCTGTGAGGTCACGATCTTTGTCGTTGACGGTGTTTGAAACCTTCTTTCCAAGATTTGAAGAGGAAGCAAAGTCAGGCCCAGCCTTTGACATGAGTTCGTAGGCGTTTGGGTTGAATCCTTCTTCGGTCATCTTAGTTGGAAGAGAGCTTGGTTTCACTTTGACGCCATGCTGCTCCTCCAGACGGTTGATGAGTCCGGTGGTTTGCAAGTTTTTCTCTTCAACAGTCTTTATCAGCCTCGCAATTGTTTCCTTCATCTGAACTAGCTGTTTTTCAATGGAGGTAGTGACGATGGTCATGACTTGTTCTTTGTTTGAAGCCATGGAGAGTGCTTGAATATCTTGAACGGAGACAGAGATAAGAGGTAGCGATTGTTCCATTGGGCGTACCAAATTTATAAACACGAAAATTCCTAACGACGAACGAGACAATAACACATGTACAAAGTAATATTTTGTATTAATGATTTTGGGGGTACAATCTCTTTGTAATTTGGTCCTCTGATTCGATCTTCGTAAGATGTTGGTTTGTTGACGTGTTGTTGATCCAAGGGCTGTCGAGGCTTGATTTTGGATGAACAGTTGGAAGTTTCTTCAAGGGCCGTTGAGGCTTTGATCTTGAGGAACAAGGATGACCAGATCGTGGAGGGCTTTTGGACTTGATCTTGAAGTTGTTGATCCAAAGGGCCGTTGGGGCTTGATCTTAGGATGAATAGGTGATGAACGATGAACACTTTCTTCAAGGCCCGTTGGGGCTTGATCTTGAGTTTGTGGAAGTTCTTCAAGGGTTGTCGGGGCTTGATCTTGAAGGAGGATTTGACGAAGAACGAAGAGGGCTTTCTTGATCCTTCGGGATTTGCTTGAGAGCTTTAGAGTTTCAAGGCTTCAAGGTTTTGGTGTAATGTGTATTGGTCAAAAAAAAAAAAAGAATGAAATTGGCTTCTATTTATAGAAATTTTCAAGGCTAATTTTGAATATAATATTCAGATGAAATAAATCATTTCTACTAGGTGTTGACACATGTCCCATTTGATGACTTTTCTGATTCATTTCTCTTTTTCATTGAGTCACACGCTACGTCTAAAATTTATATGACACGTGAGCGTTGAAATTTTATTTATTGGTTAATATTCATTTCATCGAAATTTCGATGTCTACATTTTGTCACCATCTTTGTAAAATTTTCCCAGTTTAGCTCAACTTCCTCATTGTTTTCTCTATTTCTTTTGAATCAAACACCAATGTGGTAATGGTAGGTTATGTCAGACATCTTTCACTTTTTGAAAGCCTCCATTGTCTATCATTGACCAAGAAATAAACACCGACTGACCGTCCACCGTTGAACTCAACAGCTTCTCTCTCTCTCAAAATTGGGATTCAACATGTAAAGAAAATTTTCGAGGGAAAAACTTGTATAGAGATAACAAGTGATGATGAAGCTCATCGTTTTATTTATTATTGTTGAATAATTTTGAATTTCGAAATCTATGTAATGAATAAATACAAATTAAAAAAATTAAACTTATTCAATAATAATAAATAAAATGGTGATCATTACCACCAAGTGAGCAAAAATACACTCACAATTTTTCTTAGACCATGGACGAAGCAGGCATTAAATTAGTGTTCTCGGAGATACAAAAGCCGGTTAGGCTGAAACCATAGGATTCGAAAGCTCTGGCTCTTAGTTCTGCTCATTGTTACAATTGTGCAGATTAATGCATTTTAGCTGAACTTTTAGCCGAGCAAATTCCGAAGAAATTTTAAATCCCCTGCGGATTGGAATTAAAAAGAGTGTCCTTGTACTGGCCTCTTTTTCCATTGTTGTATTTACAAATACACCTAATCTTCAGAAACAGTCTAACTAGTGAAAGACCAAGGCTTTTAATTGACCTTCACCATTTCTTTTCTTTCAATAAATATTATGTTGAAGTATTCTTCCTGATATGGCTGCTGCAAGTGCTTTCGTGAAATCGGGATCCTTTGTCAAGGAAGAAGCCATCTGCTGCACCAAAAATTTGCGAACTTCGGGTGTTTCAGTTCTTGTTTTTGTGCTCTTGGCATCTGCAGTACTGGACTTGGATTTGGTCAAGTCAAGAGTAATTGTAGGTCCAGTTGAGCCAAGGGAGGTTGAGCAAGGGACGGATCCTATTGCCACGCAGTGGTTTGAGCCCGATGTTGCTTCAATTTGGGAAGGGTTGGGGTGGTTGTGTTCACCTTCATAAGTTGCCACCAAAATAGATTGGTCCTCAACACTTCTTTGAACCTGAAGAGGAAATTATAGACAAAATTACATTTAACTTATAAGAACAATGAAAAGCAAACGAAATCGTCTATTTACACTAAGTTTTAAGCAACAAGAAGGTTAAGGAATTCACTCACCTTCTTTTTGACAGGGCAGCTTGGAGCAAAAGAGCATTTGAAGTAAGCTCTAGGACAAGGATTATCCCTAGTAACTTTTTGGCCATATTTCCTCCATTGATATCCATCTTTCACAACCTATTAAAATACACATAAAATTGCTCAATACAACAACTCAAATAAATAAAATTGAGTTCATTGTAAGTGTGTGACATTGATTACGGATTGAGGACTAACTAATTACCAAGCTTGTATCAGATGCTTCTGTCTGGACACAAGCCCTTGAAATCTTAGCCTTGACGATCTCTTCTCTTGGTTTCTTGTAGGACTCTCCATCACTGGAACTGCTCTCCGAGTTTCTATTCACTGCTCCATTCATGATATTATTACTGTTTGTGTTGTTGTTGCTGCTTTCGGACTTTCTTTTCTTTGAAATTGGGCTAAGCTCCTTCTCAGGGTTCTTGCTCATGTACTCCAACAGTTGGTTTCTCAAAGCATTGTAGTTCTCTCCCATCACCGTCAACATTTCTGTTAGCTTCTTGTTCTCTGCACTCACTCGGTGCAATTCTTCCAATAGGGCACCGCTCTGAATCAAAGCAGATCATAAATCTTTTAGCTAGCCATGGAACCCAAGCAGTTATATTTCTTGATATCAAACTACATATGCTCTGATACCATATGTTAAGCTTCCAAATAGACGCTTCAGGGGTCTACTACTAATTAAACATTTATATTTCATGGTAGCGAAAATCCTAAGCGCGTGGTTCAACGGCCTACTACTATATATATAGTTCATGTTTCAAGTGTTAAAGAGGTTGTATATTGAAGTTTTATAAGCAGTAGATTAGTTCTTCCTAAAGAAAAAGATTGTGAAAAATAAATAGTAGAATATCCTTATAAACCATGAAGGCAGGTCTTCATTGGCAACCACAAAACAAGAAGATAGAGAAGATAAGGCGGAGAAAACTAAGAAACCAACCTCTTCTTTAGGTGAAAGCTGCCTCCCAAAGTCGATCAATATTTTGCTATGCACCTCTTTTTTGATCATCTGAAATTAATCAAAGCAAATATTTAGACTTCTATAAGTTCATGAGCAACTTTTATAAACAATTAAGCAAAGTGATATAACTATATATTCGTGAGATTTTTATACATATAATTTTCGACTTACCGGAGTGTCATTGAAAAGTCTGAGAGGCATGGAATTAAGATCCAAAGAAGTATCATCATATGCAGCTGAGTAGTCCATTTCCTTTGAAATTAACAACAGCTCTTCCTTCCTTGTAATAATCCTCAAGAAAATCTCTCAAGCCCTCAAGTTTGACCTAAATCTTGACCAAGTAGTTGTGTGAAACCGTCTGAGTTTTACCAAATGAAAGGCAGTTTAATATATAGAACCAGAGAAAGCTCTCATAAGAGATGAGAAGACAGAAGGAAACTGAGGAGAAAGAGAGAGAGAAGGAAAGATAAGAGATGAGTAGTGTCAGTGAAGAGCTGTATATAGACTCGCTTTTGGTGTGCGTTTATAAGAGGAATAATTATATGTAAGAACTGCAAGCTGTACGACGTGTCGGTCGTCATGGAGTTTGAATTTCCTTATACTTGATTTTTCTAGTCAAGCACGCCACCCCAAGAATTAAATAAGTCATTTGAATTGTAGTGTGTGTGTATACTAATGAATTTATTTTATTTCTAATATTTTAATAATTTATTATTTTATTTTAAAGAATAGTGGAAGGAAGCAAGAGAAGTTCTATATTGACCCGATGATTTGTCCGTCATACTATTATAATAAGTTCTACTTTTTCTGTTTTTCTAAGTGGGGTAATGAATATCGTATCAATGAGTAATATTATGGGTTTGCTTTTCTGTCGCGTTTTGAACTTCGAAGCATTTTTTCCACGTTCCATGAATCTATGTATTGTTTTTTGTTTTTACGTGGATGAAAAATGCATATATCTTTAAAAAAAAAAAAATTAGTGAGAAAGATTTGAAAATTTTAAGTTTTAACGATAAAGATAAAATAAAGGGTAAAATAAATAGTATAAGGATTGACTTTTTAGTATAAAAACGTGATTTTTCGTTAAAGTGAACAGTATTATGAGCTTTTCATTAAAATTCTCTATATATTTTTGTATTTTTTGATTCGCATGTCCAAACCTGTCAACATGTTTATTGTAAAATTTCAAGTGAAGGATATTTTACAGTTTTACAGAGACAAAAGTTAAACTTTTGTTTATTAGCAATGATAACTTGAACTTGGAATTGGAATCACCTTCCATTTATCCAAGAACTAGTTGATTTGAAAAGAGAAAACAAAGAGTTACATTAAACTAATATTTCATAAACAATCGATGAAGATCTACATTGGACAGTAGATTTAGAACTAACCATGAGGTGGATCACCATCTAGGCAAACCAACGTTCTTCATTCTCCCTGCAGCCAACTTTTACAACTTCTTTGTGCACATGCATGGCATATATGTTTTACGGACAACATTAGGGTTAGTTTACGGTACTTTTTAAGAAAAAAATAGGTATTAGTATTTTTTAATTTGAACAAGAATTTTGTAATGCAATCACGTCTACGCATAATATCTTTACCTTAATAGTGCAATAAAACATTCACAACATACCTTATTAGAGCCTGAGAGTAATAACAAAGTCATTATTATGTATTATTAATTAACTAAGACTAGCAGATGCTCACACACACGGTGTGTAAACATTTTCATCTTATTTATTTATTTTATTATGAAAGTGTGATTAGTTTTAAAAAAAATTTAAAAAAAAGTTATGAAAATTGGGACAATCATGAGCAATTGTGTTTTTTATTTTTTATTTTTAAATAGGGCATGTGATATTAACATGACTCTTATGTAACCTTAGGTTGGTGTAAAAAAAGGGTAAAATTGATGTTTATGTAATTACTAAATCGTCTATGTTTTTTTATTTTTGTTCAGTTTTGGTGTCACATCCCGGCCCGGGCGGATCACTTCCCGGGCCCGCTCCACCACCGTAGCACGATATTATCCGCTTTGGGCTCCGACCACGCCCTCACGGTTTTGTTTTTGGGAACTCACGAGCAACTTCCCAGTGGGTCACCCATCATGGGATTGCTCTAGCCCCCTTCTCGCTTAACTTCGGAGTTCCTACGGAACCCGAAGCCAGTGAGCTCCCAAAAGGCCTCGTGCTAGGTAGGGATGGGAATATACATATAAGGATCACTCCCCTGGGCGATGTGGGATCTCACAATCCACCCCCCTTAGGGGCCCGACGTCCTCGTCGGCACACACGCGACCAGGGTTAGGCTCTGATACCAAATTGTCACATCCCGGCCCCAGCGGATCACTTCCCAGGCCCGCTCCACCACTGTAGCACGATATTGTCCGCTTTGGGCCCCGACCACGCCCTCACGGTTTTGTTTTTGGGAACTCACGAGCAACTTCCCAGTGGGTCACCCATCATGGGATTGCTTTAGCCCCCTTCTCGCTTAACTTCAGAGTTCCTACGGAACCCGAAGCCAGTGAGCTCCCAAAAGGCCTCGTGGGCGATGTGGGATCTCACATTTGGTGAGAGGGTTGAAATAGTAATTTTATACGGTTTTAGTTGACAATTAGGAGTCTATTAATAAGTAGTTTAAATAATCATATTTTGACAAAAAAAAAATTAAAAACATTAAAAAAAAAACCTATAACCATATCATTATTAAGTAACTCTAGGTTGTAAAGTTTAATGATTCTTATGTAACCTTAGATTGTAAACTTTAGCAACATTTTTTAAACTTCGTTAAATATGAATGTTAACATCAATAGATCAATAGTCTTAATTATTATTATTATTATTTTAAAAGGGGGACAACTGGTGGCAAGCCACAATTATCTACACCTTCCAGGCCTGAAGAGGCTATGGAGAATTTTCACTCTGCTCGTGGCCATAGGTAAGCAGACTCACCAGCTCAAAGCATTAAACTTGGGTGTCCGTAGAATTTATGACAATATTTCATATATATATATATATTCTTTATGTGTCAGAAAACTAATTAGCAACATGGGGTGCCCAACTTCATAAAAGCACATAATGTTCCATAATTTTCAAATGTAGGATTTACATTCTTAGTATATTTGTGTGTGTGTGTGTGTGTGTAGAATTTTTTTTTTTTTTGAAGGTAACTAATTAAATTAATTAAGTAGCTGAGCTTCTTATAGGGTTGTATGACACACCCCGACCGAGATCAAGGCATGCTGCCCGTCGCGTGGAAGTGACGTAGCCATGTGCACAGTGCGGAAGCTAAAAATAATAATAAAAGTACGAACAAATAAAAACCAGCTATACACACAATAATAACATACATGTGCAAGCGAAAGTGTGAGAAACAAATTTCAGAGCACGGAAGACCTAGTGCAGTCCGGGAGAAACAACACTAAATAAACACACCCGAGGGTGGTCTTACACTGGTGATAATCTGTCAGATAAGCTGGAAAAATCCTCTGGGGAGCCACCAAAAGCGCTAGCCAAACTAGAACCTGAAGGGGCGCAAAACAGAAAGCGTGAGTGGGCAAAAACAAAGCTTTTCAAAAACCATTTCATAAACAAAGTTCTAACCCCTCGCCGTAAAACCTCTATACTTCCCAGAAAATATAATATATACATACATATAAATCATGCTCGGAAATATGCCATGCCAAATGCCTTGAAATAAAATGCAAGTACTCAGGTAATGCCAAACAGTGTCATGTAATCTGTCAGCCGGAGTCACCTAACGTGACCTGTACGGCTGAACCTAGAGCTCAAATCTCCAACTCACTGACTATACCTGCACACGAGTCAGAACCACCTAAAGTGGTCTGTACGACAGGACTGGGTGTAATATAAGTACGCTCAAGTGCTACAATCACGTGAAGGCTGGGCGAATAATTGCGGGTCACCTACGAGTCGGAACCACCTAAAGTGGTCTGTACGACAAAATTGTGCACCTAACTTGGATCCAAGATGAGCGTGTGGTGCGGGAGGTGAATCTCACGTGAAGGATTGTGCCCTACTCTGGGCGGGAGCACTAACACCGGGGGTGCAGGTTATGAGCTCTCTATATATCTCAAATCACTATTGAACATAAACATAAACCATAACTTACCTGGCACTTACCTGTGCGTCCGCAGCACCAACACACACAGATATATATATATATATATATATATATATATATATGCAACTAATAATGCATAATTAAATGGGCAAACATAATGCATGGCAGCGGACAACCGAACAATCAATGAGCTTTCCGCTTCGGGATTGGCCAATGCCGCACCCTTGTGCATCCAATACCCAAGGGCGGCTCAAGACAAGACTGCCGAGTTCGAATTGAAGTCAAGCCTGTTACATCACATTCCGAAGTACCATGGGCTATCCATGGAAGATCCGAACAAGCATTTGAAGGAGTTTGAAGTCGTTTGCTCAAGCATGACTCCGGTGAACGTAGATGAGAGCATCTTGAAGATGAAGGCCTTTCCCTTTTCTCTCCAAGAGAAAGCGAAAGATTGGTTGTACGAATTGGCTCCCGGAACTGTCACATCATGGGAGAGCATGAAACGAGCTTACTTGGAGAAGTTTTTCCCAACTTCTCGAGTCATCCTCCTACGAAAAAGGATAAGTGGAATTCAACAAGATGAAGGTGAATCCTTTCCTACTTATTATGAACGTTTTAAATCTCTTGTTGCTTCATGTCCACAGCATCAAATGAAGGAGGAACTACTTCTACAATACTTTTACGAGGGACTTCTACCTATTGAACGTCAAATGCTAGATGCCTCAGCGGGAGGAGCATTGGTGGACAAAACCCCTACGGCTGCAAAGATGTTGATTGCTAATCGAGCATTGAACGCTCAACAATACGAAGGCGTTGGACAAAGGAGTACCCCACGGCAACACCAAGTCAATGAGGTAAGTACCATAACCGAACTTCAAAATCAAATGGCTAACCTCACTACTTTGCTTTCTCAGGTGATGGACGGTCCAAAAGTCCAAACCGTAGCTTCTTGTGGTGTGTGCTCCATGCAAGGACATCCCATGGATAAGTGCCCACAATTGATCGAGAATGGAGGGTGGGAGACACTCAATGCCGTGGGATATGGGAATCAATACCAAAATCGTGGTGACCCCTTCTCCACTACCTACAATCCTGGTTGGCGTGATCATCCAAATTTCAAATGGCGGGAGCCTCAACAACCTTACCAACAAGGAGGCTTTAGGCAGCAACCCCCGGGATTTTACACCAAAACCCACGGCCAAGAAGCATCACAATCCCAATCTGCCCAAAACCATCAAGGTATGTCTTTGGACAATGATACAATTCTTAAGTTACTTACCAATTTGTCTCAGGGGCTAGAGAATCAAAACAAAGCATTGCAAAACCAAGACAAAAGGGTGGACCACTTAGAGAAACAAATA